CTTAATCTCACTCCAAAGCTTTTTCTTATTTTCAACAAAATTTGTTGATAACATCTCACCCACTCTCTCATTTGCTCTCTTTTTACATTGCTTCACCACTCTCTTAACCTCTCTCTTTTTCTCCATATACTCTTCCCTCCTTGCATCACGTCTACTTTGTAAAAACTTCTCATATGCTAACTTTTTCTCCCTTACTACTCTCTCTACATCATCATTCCACCAATCGCTCATCTTCCCTCCCGCACCCACTTTCCTGTAACCACAAACTTCTGCTGAACACTCTAACACTACATTTTTAACCCTTTGAGGGTTTTCGTCGTACTAGTACGTCTTACGCGTAGGGGTTTTTGACATACTAGTACGCATAAATTCTAGCGGCCTCAAATCTAGTGGGAGAAAGCTGGTAGGCCTTCATATGAAAGAATGGGTCTATGTGGTCAGTGTGCACAGTCTAAAAAAAATCCTGCAGCACACAGTGCATAATGAGAAAAAAAAAACTTTGACCATTTTTTTGGAATAAATCAGCGACTTTGCAGTGTATTTTCGTATGGTATTTATTGTTGTATTCTAGTTTTCTTGGTCTCATTTTATAGAATGGAAGACATATTACAGAAATTGAGATGATTTTGGCTGGTTTTACAATGAAAGGTGCCTTGAAATTGAGCTCAAAGTAGCAGAAATGTTCGATTTTTACCAAACTTCAAAAGTAAACAAATCGTGCCAAGCGTGCAATACACGTCAACTGGTGAGTCTAATATTCTTTCACAAGTGCACCATAATAATTTATACCATTTTTTACACTAATGCAGTAGTCTGCATAACAGTAAATCTTATATTTTTTGTGAGAATAAAAATTCAAAATGGAAAGCAAAAGAATATAAGAGGGGCCTTGAGACGTGACTAATGACTAGAGGAAATGTCATTTTAGTGCCAGGAATGTCTTTCTTGTTTATTCTGGACCCTATTCGGAAATTGGCATCTTTTGAAATTTGTGTGAAATTGGCAAAATTGCTAAATTCTGACCACTGTACTGGATAGTTGAATTTCATAAATGGGTGGTTTTTTCACCCATTCGATAGAAAAAATGGAGTTCTAGCGAAATATTTACGTTTTTTGTCGACTAGTACAGCGAAATTGGCCAAAAATGGGGCTCAAAGTGGGCAAAATCGCCGATGCGTAAACATCGCCGAGACCGCTAACTTTGCGAGAGCATAATTCCGTAAGTTTTCTATCAAATTTCAAACTTTTGGTGTCTTTATGATCGGGAAAAGATTCTCTATCTTTTCATAAGAGAAAATAATTTTTTTTTTTTTTTAAATTTGGCCGACCCTGAGAACGAGTTTCGGAGAGGGCCTGTCGACCCTCAAAGGGTTAAACTTACCCCATACCTCTTCGACCCCATTGCCTATGCTCTCATTAGCCCATCTATCCTCCAATAGCTGCTTATATCTTGCCCTAACTGCCTCCTCTTTTAGTTTATAAACCTTCACCTCTCTCTTCCCTGATGCTTCTATTCTCCTTGTATCCCATCTACCTTTTACTCTCACTGTAGCTACAACTAGAAAATGATCTGATATATCTGTGGCCCCTCTATGAACATGTACATCCTGAAGTCTACTCAACAGTCTTTTATCTACCAATACATAATCCAACAAACTACTGTCATTTCACCCTACATCATATCTTGTATACTTATTTATCCTCTTTTTCTTAAAATATGTATTACCTATAACTAAACCCCTTTCTATACAAAGTTCAATCAAAGGGCTCCCATTATCATTTACACCTGGCACCCCAAACTTAACTACCTCACCCTCTCTAAAAGTTTCTCCTACTTTAGCATTCAGGTCCCCTACCACAATTACTCTCTCACTTGGTTCAAAGGCTCCTTCCTATACATTCATTTAACATCTCCCAAAATCTCTCTCTCCTCTACATTCCTCTCTTCTCCAGGTGCATACACGCTTATTATGACCCACTTTTCGCATCCAGCCTTTACTTTAATCCACATAATTCTTGAATTTACACATTCATATTCTCTTTTCTCCTTCCATAACTGATCCTTCAACATTACTGCTACCCTGATTACCTTATTCTCCTCCTGTTCTTCAAGATTCTCCTTTGTATGGACTGATGAAGCCACTGTGTGGCAAAACGTTTCCTCAATAAAGATACCCAAGAGTTGCACATGTGTCTAATTTATCAACATGTCGGTTCTCTGAACCATTCATCTACAAACCTGTCAGACTCTGCAACTTCTTGGGATCTTAATACTTGGGAATTCCTCGCTTGCCTAATTCTTGGGCACGACCTATTTCAACATTGAACAAATATTACACCACCTATGACTGCTGCACCTCCTGCCAACGGTTTATAAGCTCCTTCTCAGCACGTATGCCGTATTCTATTCAAGATTGATGGACTGACCACATCGACTCAAGGTTGAGGGACTGATTACCTCATTCTCCTCCTGTTCTTCAAGATTCTCCTTTGTATGGACTGATGAAGCCACTGTGTGGCAAAACGTTTCCTCAATAAAGATACCCAAGAGTTGCACATGTGTCTAATTTATCAACATGTCGGTTCTCTGAACCATTCATCTACATTACTGCTACCCCTTCCTTTGCTCTAACTCTCTCAGATACTCCAGATTTAATCCCATTTATTTTCCCCCACCGAAACTCCCCTACCCCCCTTCAGCTTTGTTTCGCTTAGGGCCAGGACATCCAACTTCTTTTCATTCATAACATCAGCAATCATCTGTTTCTTGTCATCCGCACTACATCCACGCACATTCAAGCATCCCAGTTTTATAAAGCTTTTCTTCTCTTTTTTAGTAAATGTCTACAGGAGAAGGGGTTACTAGCCCATTGCTCCCGGCATTTTAGTCGCCTCATACGACACGCATGGCTTACGGAGGAAAGATTCTTTTCCACTTCCCCATTGACAATAGAAGAAATAAAGAAGAACAAGAGCTATTTAGAAAAAGGAGAAAAACCTAGATGTATGTATATATATATGCATGTGCGTGTCTGTGAAGTGTGACCAAAGTGTAAGTAGGAGTAGCAAGATATCCCTGTTATCTAGCATGTTTATGAGACAGAAAAAGAAACCAGCAATCCTACCATCATGCAAAACAGTTACAGGTTTCTGTTTCACAGTCATCTGGCAGGACGGTAGTACTTCCCTGGGTGGTTGCTGTCTACCAACCTACTACCAGTAATTATTCTCTGTATTAGATTGATAAAGCCAGTGGTTGGCAAAAGAAACTCAATAAAGATAACCAAGTACTGGAGATAGTTCTCTTGGTTATTCTGGTAATTATAGAGCCTAGATAAGATGATTATTTTGTTTGGATTGTTACCCTGTAATAATCCAATCTGTGTCATTAGGGGAACTTTTATTTCCATGGGGTCTTTTAATCTTTTTACCTCCAGGATGGGGGAGACGACAGTTGACAAACACCCAGGTACAGTGGTCCCTTGTTTATCGTTGTTAATCTGTTCCTGGAAGTGCGACGATTATTGAAATAGATGATTTTCAAATAAATTTTCCCTATAAGAAATAATGTAAATACAATTAATCCATTCCTGACACCCAGAAGTATTAAAACAAAAACTTTTTTACATGAAATATAGATGTAGTACATAAACAATACAATGGGACATGATGAATGAAACATTAACAGCATAACACTTACCTTTATTGGCGATTCTTCTGAGTGTATGGAAGACTGGAGGAGGAGAGAGATTGGATTAGTTACTGTTTGGAAAGGGAATCCTCTTCCATCAACACCTCAGGTACCAAGTCCTTTTCTGGGGTTACTTCTCTTCTCTGTTTCTTAATGCCACTAGGACCAGCTTGAGAGTCACTGGAGTCCTGTCTCGCAAAAAAAAGTGTCCAGAGAGCTCTATTTCTGGTGTCTCCTTAAAACTTCCCTAAAATGGGCGTCAGCCTGTCTTTCATAGGCATGTGTCCTGGCAGTCCCTTTTCCTCCTGAGTAATGTAGGTCCTCTTTGGCATTTTCTTCCAAAAGAGGCCTGTTTCATCACAATTGAACACTTTGTTCAGGTTTCAGTCCTTCAGCCTCTATGTACTCCTTGAATTCACTTACAAATTTTGTAGCTGCAATTTTGTCCGAACTGGCAGCCTCACTATGCCTTATCACACTGTATGCCACTACGCTTCTTAAATCTCTCAAACCAACCTTTGCTGGCCTTAAATTCACAGTTATCAGTACTCGTTGCAGGCAAATTCTTTACCATATCGTCATGCAACTGCCTAGCCTTTCCACAAGTAATCGACGTCATAATAGTATCTCCTGCTAATTGTTTCTCTTTTATCCACACCAATAATAACTTCTGAACATCTTCGAGTACAGGTGATCTCATTTTTGTCAGCATCTTTTACCCCCTTTGCAACAACAGCTCCCTCGATTTCCTTTTTCTTGGCCACGATGGAAGATATGGTTGTACGGGATTTGTTATACATCCTGGCCAGTTCGGCCACATGTATGCCACTTTCATATTGTTCAATGATGTTTTTCTTAAATTCAATCATATTTCTTACCTTCTTTACCAAAGGTTTGGCACTAGGAGCTTTGGAGCCATGGTAGCTTATTTAGCACTTACAAGCACTAAAATGAATGGAATATTATGAAATATTTCGTATGAACAAGTGAGGGGACCGTCGCTCACTGGTAAACAATGGCACACTGGCTAGGAAGGGAGGTCGGGGCAGCTCAGAGCTGTGAGTACGTATCCAGGACGAACGACGATTAGCGAGTCAACCGACCATTTGCGAGCCAATGTTTGGACGAAAATAACGCGAGGATTTCCGAAAAGGACGACTATCGAGCCAGGCGATTATCGAGGGACCACTGTACTTGCGTACTCCTAGGTTAACAGATATCAGTTGCGAGGAAACATACCCAAATTTTCACCCATGCCAGAGAATGATCTCAGGTCTCTCATTGTGTGAGTTGAAGACATTGTCAACAGAGCCATGAGCACCCTAGTGGAGCTACTGGAAATAAAATGGTTATAGTGACAGAAAATATGTATAGTGCAGTTGATCCATCAAGTTAGTAGGGATTAGGACCCTAGAGGTCCCTGTGAATCCAGAATCTTGTGAATATCAGTAAGTTAGTATAATCAGTTTCATTTCTCCCCACAGAAAATCTACCCCCTTTTGCCTCGTTTCACTTAGAGCTAGGATATTCAACTTCTTTTCATTTGTATCATTCACAGTCATATCTTTCTTAACTGTACTACAAATATTGATTTTTTTTTTTTCCAGGATGTTCTGCAGCAAATGGGTCAAGAAGAAATACGTGCAGATTTCTTGGCAGGGACCAATGGTGCAGTACAAATGCCAGCTGAAAATCTTGATAGTCTTGATATATTGTACAAACTGGTCACTCCTACAAAAGCTGAGGGTCAGACAACGCAGGAATTCCAGGTATGTTTGTCATTATACAATAATTATGGTTGTTCTTCTATTTGGTTATACAGTGGACCCCCGCATAACGATCAGCTCCCAACTCGACCAATTATGTAAGTGTATTTTTGTAAGTGCTTTTGTAGGTGTATTTTTGGGGGTCTGAAAGGGACTAATCTAATTCACAATATCTCTTATGGGAACAAATTCGGTCTATAACGGCACCCAAACAGACTTCTGGATTGAAATAATATCGTTATCCGGGGGTCCACTGTATCTTGTTTACAGATGGTCTGTGGATTTCATGAGGCCTTGTTTGCACTGATGTGAATCTTACAAAAATTATGCTTGTCCTTAGACAAGAAAGCTTATTATGATTGAACCATTTAGGTAGACTCTCTAATAAGAAAAATTATTTGCTGACACCCTCCCCCCTCCCAATGAGTGTTAAGTAATTTAATTGAAAACTTAATTTTTTTTTAATTCTTAATAATAAAAAAATGATAAATCTACAGTTCTTACCTGTCTACCAAAAAAATGTGAAACTCTGGGATACCTAGAAAAAAAAAATTGTGGGGGAAGATTTAAAAAAAAATTCTTTTAGAGTGAAATTATATTTTTCTGAATTGAATGACAAAAAGGTGTGGAATCTGATAAAAACTTAAAATTTTATGGTGTGCCAAAGTTGACGAAAAATGATTACTTATTGATGACAAGGGCATAAATGCGCCAGTGATACTTGCATTTTTCACTTTATTTATGCTCCACTTGGAATATAGGGCATAATTTTTTTTTTTCAACAAGTCGGCCGTCTCCCACCGAGGTAGGGTGACCCAAAAAAAGAAAGAAAATCCCCAAAAAGAAAATACTTCCATCATCATTCAACACTTTCACCTCACTCACACATAATCACTGTTTTTGCAGAGGTGTTCAGAATACAACAGTTTAGAAACATATATGTATAAAGATACACAGCATATCCCTCCAAACTGCCAGTATCCCAAACATCCCCTTTAAAGTGCAGGCATTGTACTTCCCATTTCCAGGACTCAAGTCCAGCTATATAAAAATAATCAGTTTCCCTGAATCCCTTCACCAAATATTACCCTGCTCACACTCCAACAGCTCGTCAGGTCCCAAATACCATTCGTCTCCATTCACTCCTATCTAACACGCTCATGCACGCTTGATGGAAATCCAAGCCCCTCCCCCACAAAACCTCCTTTACTCCCTCCCTCCAACCTTTTTGAGGACGACCCCTACCCCACCTTCCTTCTACAGATTTATACGCTCTCCATGTCATTCTACTTTGATAAATTCTCTCTAAATAACCAAACCACCTCAACAACTCCTCTTCAGCCCTCTTGACTAATACTTTTATTAACTCCACACCTTCTCCTAATTTCTACACTCAGAATTTTCTGCATAATATTCACACCACACATTGGTCTTAAACAGGACATCACTGCCTTCAACCGCCTATTCGCTGCAGCATTTACAACCCAAGCTTCACACCCATATAAGAGTGTTGGTACTGCTATACTTTCATACATTCCCTTCTTTGCCTCCATAGATAACGTGTTTTGTCTCCACGTATACCTCAACGCACCACTTGCCTTTTTTCCTTCATCACTTCTATGATTAACCTCATCCTTCATAAATCCATCCATCACATTCATCCAGAATATTGCTCAGTGCTGACGGCCCCGTTCAGGGTAGGAGAAATATCGGAGCTGGAACAAATACAGAGATTGTTTACGGCTCACATTGAGCCAGTAAAGCACCTAAACTACTGGGAACGTCTGCAAGTCTTGAACATGTACTCATTGGAGTGGAGGAGAGAGAGTACATGGTAATATGTAGCTGGAAGGTACTCAAGGGCTTGGTCCCAAATATGCAAACTGCCATAACATACTGGAGCGAGAGATATGGGAGGAAGTGTAAAATAAACCCAGTGAGGAGCAGGGGTGCGGTGGGGACAATAAGGGAACACTGTATCAACATCCGGGGTCCCAGACTTTTCAACATCTTACCAGAAGATATCAGAAACACTGCTGGAACAAGTGTTGAAGCCTTCAAGAGGAAACTAGACAAGTATCTTCACCAGGTGCCAGATCAACCAGGCTGTGATGGATATGTGGGGCAGCGGGCCTCCAGCAGCAACAGCTTGGTTGACCAGGTGAGCACCAGATGAGCCTGGCCCATGGCTGGGCTCAGAGAGTAGATATACTCTCGGAATTCTTCAAAGGTATATCAAAGGTAAAGGTAGTGACACGTCAACTCCCAAATATCTGAAAACATTCACTTCTTCCATACTACTCCTCCCCAATTTGATATCCAATTTTTCTTTATCTAAATCATTTGATACCCTCATCACCTTACTCTTTTCTATGTTCACTTTCAACTTTCTACCTTTACACACACACTCCCAAACTTGTCCACTAACCTTTGCAATTTTTCTTTAGAATCTCCCATAAGCACAGTATCAGCAAAAAGTAACCGTGTCAATTCCCATTTTGTATTTGATGCCCCATAATTTAATCCCACACCTCTCCTGAACACCCTAGCATTTATATTTATTTATTATCACACCGGCCGATTCCCACCAAGGCAGGGTGGCCCGAAAAAGAAAAACTTTCACCATCATTCACTCCATCACTGTCTTGCCAGAAGGGTGCTTTACACTACAGTTTTTAAACTGCAACATTAACACCCCTCCTTCAGAGTGCAGGCACTGTACTTCCCATCTCCAGGACTCGAGTCCGGCCTGCCGGTTTCCCTGAATCCCTTCATAAATGTTACTTTGCTCACACTCCAACAGCACGTCAAGTATTAAAAACCATTTGTCTCCATTCACTCCTATCAAACACGCTCACGCATGCCTGCTGGAAGTCCAAGCCCCTCGCACACAAAACCTCCTTTACCCCCTCCCTCCAACCCTTCCTAGGCCGACCCCTACCCCGCCTTCCTTCCACTACAGACTGATACACTCTTGAAGTCATTCTGTTTCGCTCCATTCTCTCTACATGTCCGAACCACCTCAACAACCCTTCCTCAGCCCTCTGGACAACAGTTTTGGTAATCCCGCACCTCCTCCTAACTTCCAAACTACGAATTCTCTGCATTATATTCACACACACATTGCCCTCAGACATGACATCTCCACTGCCTCCACCTTCTCCTCGCTTCAACATTCATCACCCACGCTTCACACCCATATAAGAGCGTTGGTAAAACTATACTCTCATACTTTCCCCCTCTTTGCCTCCAAGGACAAAGTTCTTTGTCTCCACAGACTCCTAAGTGCACCACCTCACTCTTTTTCCCTCATCAATTCTATGATTCACCTCATCTTTCATAGACCCATCCGCTGACACGTCCACTCCCAAATATCTGAATACGTTCACCTCCTCCATACTCTCTCCTCCAATCTGATATTCAATCTTTCATCACCTAATCTTTTTGTTATCCTCATAACCTTACTCTTTCCTGTATTCACCTTTAATTTTCTTCTTTTGCACACCCTACCAAATTCATCCACCAATCTCTGCAACTTCTCTTCAGAATCTCCCAAGAGCACAGTGTCATCAGCAAAGAGCAGCTGTGACAACTCCCACTTTGTGTGTGATTCTTTATCTTTTAACTCCACGCCTCTTGCCAAGACCCTCGCATTTACTTCTCTTACAACCCCATCTATAAATATATTAAACAACCAGGGTGACATCACACATCCTTGTCTAAGGCCTACTTTTACTGGGAAAAAATTTCCCTCTTTCCTACATACTCTAACTTGAGCCTCACTATCCTCGTAAAAACTCTTCACTGCTTTCAGTAACCTACCTCCTACACCATACACTTGCAACATCTGCCACATTGCCCCCCTATCCACCCTGTCATACGCCTTTTCCAAATCCATAATGCCACAAAGACCTCTTTAGCCTTATCTAAATACTGTTCACTTATATGTTTCACTGTAAACACCTGGTCCACACACCCCTACCTTTCCTAAAGCCTCCTTGTTCATCTGCTATCCTATTCTCCGTCTTACTCTTAATTCTTTCAATTATAACTCTACCATACACTTTACCAGGTACACTCAACAGACTTATCCCCTATAATTTTTGCACTCTCTTTTATCCCCTTTGCCTTTATACAAAGGAACTATTTCATGCTCTCTGCCAATCCCTAGGGACCTTACCCCCTTCCATACATTTATTAAACAATTGCACCAACCACTCCAAAACTATATCCCCACCTGCTTTTAACATTTCTATCTTTATCCCATCAATCCCGGCTGCCTTACCCCCTTTCATTTTACCTACTGCCTCACGAACTTCCCCCACACTCACAACTGGCTCTTCCTCACTCCTACAAGATGTTATTCCTCCTTGCCCTATACACGAAATCACAGCTTCCCTATCTTCATCAACATTTAACAATTCCTCAAAATATTCCTTCCATCTTCCCAATACCTCTAACTCTCCATTTAATAACTCTCCTCTCCTATTTTTAACTGACAAATCCATTTGTTCTCTAGGCTTTCTTAACTTGTTAATCTCACTCCAAAACTTTTTCTATTTTCAACAAAATTTGTTGATAACATCTCACCCACTCTCTCATTTGCTCTCTTTTTACATTGCTTCACCACTCTCTTAACCTCTCTCTTTTTCCATATACTCTTCCCTCCTTGCATCACTTCTACTTTGTAAAAACTTCTCATATGCTAACTTTTTCTCCCTTACTACTCTCTTTACATCATCATTCCACCAATCGCTCCTCTTCCCTCCTGCACCCACTTTCCTGTAACCACAAACTTCTGCTGAACACTCTAACACTACATTTTTAAACCTACCCCATACCTCTTCGACCCCATTGCCTATGCTCTCATTAGCCCATCTATCCTCCAATAGCTGTTTATATCTTACCCTAACTGCCTCCTCTTTTAGTTTATAAACCTTCACCTCTCTCTTCCCTGATGCTTCTATTCTCCTTGTATCCCATCTACCTTTTACTCTCAGTGTAGCTACAACTAGAAAGTGATCTGATATATCTGTGGCCCCTCTATAAACATGTACATCCTGAAGTCTACTCAACAGTCTTTTATCTACCAATACATAATCCAACAAACTACTGTCATTTCGCCCTACATCATATCGTGTATACTTATTTTATCCTCTTTTTCTTAAAATATGTATTACCTATAACTAAACCCCTTTCTATACAAAGTTCAATCAAAGGGCTCCCATTATCATTTACACCTGGACACCCAAACTTACCTACCACACCCTCTCTAAAAGTTTCTCCTACTTTAGCATTCAAGTCCCCTACCACAATTACTCTCTCACTTGGTTCAAAGGCTCCTATACATTCACTTAACATCTCCCAAAATCTCTCTCTCTCCTCTGCATTCCTCTCTTCTCCAGGTGCATACACGCTTATTATGACCCACTTCTCGCATCCAACCTTTACTTTAATCCACATAATTCTTGAATTTACACATTCATATTCTCTTTTCTCCTTCCATAACTGATCATTTAACATTACTGCTACCCCTTCCTTTTCTCTAACTCTCTCAGATACTCCAGATTTAATCCCATTTATTTCCCCCACTGAAACTCTCCTACCCCTTCAGCTTTGTTTCGCTTAGGGCCAGGACATCCAACTTCTTTTCATTCATAACATCAGCAATCATCTGTTTCTTGTCATCCGCACTACATCCACGCACATTTAAGCAACCCAGTTTTATAAAGTTTTTCTTCTTCTCTTTTTTAGTAATTGTATACAGGAGAAGGGGTTACTAGCCCATTGCTCCCGGCATTTTAGTCGCCTCATACGACACGCATGGCTTACGGAGGAAAGATTCTTTTCCACTTCCCCATGGACAATAGAAGAAATAAAAAAGAACAAGAGCTATTTAGAAAAAGGAGAAAAACCTAGATGTATGTATATATATATATGCATGTGCGTGTCTGTGAAGTGTGACCAAAGTGTTAGTAGGAGTAGCAAGATATCCCTGTTATCTTAGCGTGTTTATGAGACAGAAAAAGAAACCAGCAATCCTACCATCATGCAAAACAATTACAGGTTTTTGTTTCACAGTCATCTGGCAGGACGGTAGTACTTCCCTGGGTGGTTGCTGTCTACCAACCTACTACCTATAGCATTTACTTCTTTTACAACTCTGTCTATAAATATATTAAACCACCATGGTGACATTACACATCCTTGTCTAAGACCTACTTTTACCGGGAAGTAGTCTCCCTCTCTTCTGCACACCCTAACCTGAGCTTCACTATCCTCATAAAAACTCTTTACAGCATTTAGTAACTTACCACTTATTCCATATACTTGTAACATCTGCCACATTGCTCCCCTATCCAATCTATCATATGCCTTTTCTAAATCCATAAACGCAATAAAAACTTCCCTACCTTTATCTAAATACTGTTCACATATATGCTTCAATGTAAACACTTGATCTACACATCCCCTACCCACTCTAAAACCTCTTTGGTCCCTTCACTGCCGTCAACATGACTTAAGAAATCGTAATGACACGATTGCAAACAAACCATACCCCCGGCCGGGATTGAACCCGCGATCATAGAGTCTAGAAACTCCAGCCCGTCGCGTTAGCCACTAGACCAGCTAGCCACAATAAGATTCATCCAACTAGGTATATTTTTACACCATAGGAAGGTTAGCACAGGCATCTCTGTGACCACAAATGCAAGTTTTTACAGACGAATCTCCAGCTAGCGTGGCCGTGACGAACTCTAGCTCAAGTCTTGAGCTAGGGACTTGAGCTAGAGTTCGTCACGGCCACGCTAGCTGGAGATACCTCTTTGGTCATCCGCAATTTACATTCTGTCTTACCTCTAATTCTTTCAATGATAACCCCTACCGTACACTTTTTCCTGGTATACTCAGTAAACTTATTCCTCTATAATTTTTACAATCTCTTTTGTCCCCCTTCCCTTTATATAAAGGGACTATACATGCTCTCTGCCAATCCCTAGGTACCTTCCCCTCTTTCATACATTTATTAAACAAAAATACCAACCACTCCAACACTATATCCTCCCCTGCTCTTAATATTTCCGTCATAATTGTTTTATGTTCTATTTTTTAACTGTTTTGGTCTTCTGATATTATGTACAAGGAATACTTGTAATATTACAGTTGTTTCAGAACATGGAAATAGTCACTTTGACTTTACTGGGTTATCCTGGGTTAAGTATACTGAGTATGCTTTATGGCTGAATTTTACTGTTAGTATCATGAAAATAATAAATTTGAAATGAATAAATTATCTTCTTGTAACTTCCATGCACTGTTTGCTGGTAGGAAAGCTGGTGATGCAACAACGGTTTCATTGTTATTGTTTACTCATGCTAGTTAGGCATACTAGCACATCGGACACAGTCACCTGTGTAATTAGCCATGATGCAGTGTGTGGACATTCTTGGCCTTATATTTTTTCAAATGTATGATAAGATTGTAGAAGACTCAGAGTTGTAACAAGATCAAAAATATTTGCGGGTGGCAGATTTAACGATGCAAAAATTTGTGAATACTAGTATGTTGGAGACAGTTGTCAGTTGCATACCAGTACATTGGTCACAGTTTAAAGGTTTAAGATATGTATTTTGTTTTTAATGCTGACCATCTGCCACTGATGCAGGGATGACCCCAAAGAAAGAGGAAACACTAACCCACTCTCATTCAGTCACTGTCTTGCAGGAATTGTGTTGATATCACATCTCAGATATACCCTAGAGCAACAACATCCTCACCACTTCTTTAGAGGGCAGGCACTGTACTTCCCACTTGCAGGACTTGAGTCTGGCTAACTGGTTTTCCTGAATCTCTTCATAAATGTTACCTTGCTCATACTTCAACAGCACAGTAATAAAAACCTGTTGCCTTCACTTGCTCCTAATGCACTCTCACAACCCAGTTGGATGTCCAAGCCCCTAGCACTTGAAACCACCTCTACCTCTTTCCAGCTTACCTAGTATGACTCCCCTACCCCACCTTTCCTCGTCCCTAGATTTATACACTTTGCTGCTAGTCATCCTACTTTCCTCCATCCTCTCTAATATCCAGACCACCTCAACAACCCATCCTCAAGTTCTGAATTGTCTTCTAAATATTACCACCACACATGCATGGCATGAAATTAACATCACACTCACTCAGTTCCTGTTATATTTAAGAGCTGGTGTATTCTATATGGATGATAGTGAAAGAAAACAATTGTAAATAGTAAAGTAGAGATAGGAATACTCACTGTAATTTATAATACCTAACATCATTCAGGGAGGTTCCCTAATGCTGGTGAGGGGCTCTTGATCTAGGGAATTGGAAATGTGCTCCAATTCCCTGAATTAAGCCTGAATGCCTGCCATCCCCCCCCTCCTCCTTCCACAGGCACTGTATAGTCCCTATGGCTAGGTTTAGTGCTCCCCCATAATAATAATAATATATAATACACTGTAATAATAATAATGTACATTATTCCTGTTAGTGTAAATTTGATCTTATTTCTGTGCAGACAAAATTGACCTATGCAAGGCTATATAATGCATACATCTTTTAAAATCCTTGTTTGCTTAGTAATGTATTTACTGTTTTAATTTCACTAATTAACAAATTTAACTTGCTTATTTATTGTAGAAACCAAATTAATTGCTTTAAGCTACATTTGATGTGCTGATCATGATCTGAGCTTGTTTAGTCCAAGTTTTTTTTTTTAATCGTTCTGTCAATATTTTGGCTATTTAAGGATAAAGAACCACTTATGTTACCTTACAATCATAGGTATTATATTATGCATGGATATTTAGTGTGATGCAAGCAATGACCTTTGTCAGCGTAAAAAAAAATTATATTTGTGCATAACAAAAATAAAAAATTTCCAGTCATACAAACATTTACATCAAAGTTTTCAGGCTTTTTTGCTTATGTTCAGTATCACTCTCCTGTACCAGTGTCCAGCAGGTTTTCTTCTTATCTCTTCTCCATGATGGCAAAGTCTTGGTGAAATTGTTCACCTTGGGGTTCTATTTCCAAGAAACTATGTGTTTGAGCAAAAGTTAAGTTCAGATTTGAATTTAGCATCCCAAAGCTAATTAAAAAAACACTTCTAACCATGAACTAAAGTCTTTGCAAGTCTTTGTTGGCCAGTGTTTTTAGTTATGTTACAGATTTGTGACCTATGAAGGGAGGTTCCTTGATGCTGGTGAGGGACTTTGATTTAAGGAGTTTGACCTGTGTTCCAATTCCTTGAATCAAGCCAGAATGTGTTTCATTTCCCTGGCACTATATGACTCCTACAGGTTTAGCACTCCCCCATATGTTTAATAATACAAATTTGTGATTGGTATCATAATTTGTGATGTGATATATTTTTATTTTGGTACAGTTTATTGCCACCATTAGAATGGATTATTAATATTTATTATTCATCATTTCACTTGGCAGGTTGAATTGAGGGCTGCAGCAGAGCACCTGATCTGGCTGATGGAAGGAAGGAGCAAAGACATTGCTAATACAACATACAAAGCACTGCTAAATGTTGTGGATGAAATTGCTAGTTGTTCCTATCCAGAGATAAAACTTGATGAAATTGAAGAGGAAGCTACAGCTGTCGAAAGTGTAATTATACATTTAGTATATGTGACCATTAGCTAATATTGCTCTAGTACTGTATTTGGTAGGTTTTTGTATTGTATTTTCTATTTCTGTACTGTTTTATTTGCTCTATTTTTTTTTTTTTTGTAGTTATTGGTTATCTTTGTTTTTCTCCTTTATTTGTTTGCTCTGTTTGAAATGCTTGGACGAGGCAGGCTAGAGGTAGTAATATTGTCATGTTCAAGTTTAATCTCTAGTGAATTATACAGAGAATAAGAATTGAGAAAAAGGTGTGGTGGTGTGAAAGGTATAGTTATAGAGTGCAGGGTTGAGTGATTTGGTCATTTAGAAAGGCTGACCAAGAGGATAAATAAATTTGGAGTGGTTGAAAGGGGTTATAAAAATACAGGTTATTCCAGGAAGGGTTGGAGGATGGTGTATGAGGTTTTGAGTGGTAGGGGTTGAGAATCCTGCCAGCAGTGAGAGTTTGGAGTGAGTAAAAACAAATTGGTTTTGTGATGCGGTATTCTGTTGGAGTTTGAGCAAGGTAATATCTCTGATGGATTTCATAGAGGCTATTTAACTGGACTTGAGTTCTGGAGATAGTGAGAACTGTGATTGCTCTCTGAGGGATTGATGGGGATATTGCATTTTGGTTGAAAATTTTAATTATATGCTCTTTGGAATGATAGCTAGGGAATGAGGTAGAGTGAATGTTTTCCTCTTTTGGGTTACCCTACTTTGGAAGGAGATGGATATTTAAAATTTTTTTTTTTGGTTTGTCACCTTGTAGAATTGTCAGCTATCTTCAGTTTTAAATGACTTAAAGCAAAAAAAGATATTTGGTAGAGCTTTCACATGTTATGCTGATCATCAAATAAGTGAAACACTTACCATTACAGTGGAACCTCAAAAATCAAACGTATCACATATCGAACGTTTCGAAAATAGGACCATTTTTTCGGACAAACTGTGTCCCTATTATCGAACACGCCCCTATTTTTGGACCGCCGGGTATGGGACCTATCTGCCGCTCGCTCTGTCTGCGTTCCCGCGCAGGCACCGTGAGCAGTCTAGCTTTGTTTATGCTTGAGTGAACACTAACCTGCGCTCATTCACGCATTTTACGATTATTTCGTTGTGTTTAGTGCTTGTGGGACTGTGAAGTAAGCTGCCATGAGCCCAAAGAAACTTGCTAGTGGTACCCCTGTGGTAAAGAAAGTGAGAAACACCATAGATGTGAAGAAGGAAATAATACAGAAGTATGAGAGTGATGTGAGACTTTTTGAGCTTGCCAGGATGTATGGGAAAAACAAGTCGACCATCGGTCCTATCCTGTCAAAGAAAGAACAAATCAAGGAAGCTGATGTTGCGAAATGTGTTAATATAGGGAGTGGATGAGGTGCCTTCTTCAAAGATTAGAGAGATTTGTGCCAAGTGGAATGATGTCCAAATGTTTGTGCAGAAGTACCACCCTGAGCAAGCTGAAACAAACCATCTTTGCAATAAGTTCAGTGACAGAACCATGTCCCATTTTAGGGAAATGTTAAAGAGGCGCCAGAAACAGAGGACTGCGGACAGTTATTTTGTGAGACAAGGGTCCAGTGACTCTCAGGCTGGTCCTAGTGGCATTAAAAGACAGAGAAGGGAAGTAACCCCAGAGAGGGATTTACCTGAAGTCCTCATGGAGGGGGATTCTCCTTCCAAACACTAACCCCAACTCCCTCTCTCCTCCTCCCTATCTTCCAGATGCCATCACCAATCTTCTAAAAAGGTGGTTAACGCTCTCGCTTCACACGATGAGGGCCTGGGTTCGATTCCCAGCCAGAGTAGAAACATTGGACGTGTTTCTTTCCACCTGTTGTCTATGTTCCCCATCAGTAAAATGGGTACCTGGGTGTTAGTCGACTGGTGTGGGTCGCATCCTGGGACACTGACCTAAGGAGGCCTGGTCACAGACCGGGCCGCGGGGGCGTTGACCCCTGGAACTCTCTCCAGATAAACTCCAGATACATAATTAAAAACTATAGTATTTGTTGTATGTAAAACTAATTAATCTCTATAAAATGTATTTTTTTGTGAATATTTTTGGGTTTCTGGAACGGATTAATTGTATTTCCATTATTTCTTATGGGAAATATTGCTTCGAATTTCAGACTTTTCGAATTTAGAACTAGCTCCTGGAGCGGATTAAGTTCGATTTTTGAGGTTCCACTGTACTTGCATTGAGTAAATAACAAAAAGGCACAATACCGTGACTGGAACAATACACAAATAACCCGCACATAAAAGAGAGAAGCTTACGACGACGTTTCGGTCCGACTTGGACCATTGACAAAGTCACACTAACAGAGGTGGAGCAGGACGGCTATATATAGGCAGGAAGAGGTGGTAGTAGTAGTAGTAGTAGTACAAGAATTGTATATAATACCGACAGGATGAAATTAAGACACATGCACAACACCCGGGCATCCCCATCGTAGACGTTTCGCCATCCAGCCAGCCACTGGATGGCGAAACGTCCACAACAAAGACAGCCAGACGCCGCACATGTGTCTTAATTTCAACAGTAGTTGTAGTAGAAGAAGAAGAGGTAGTAGTAGTGGTAGCGGAAGAAGTGGGAAATAAGGAAGACGAGCCAGTCAAATACAAAGGAAGGGGAGCACTGCAAGAGAGCTAGATACCCACAGAGGGAGAGCAAGTCCACAGAGGTGCGTGAAAGGGGAAGTGGTGAAATAAAATAAATGAAGAAGGAACAGAAACACGAGACAGGAGAGAGAAAGACAACCCAGAGGAGAAAAGGAGAGAGGAAAGGGGAAGAGGAAGAAGAAAAAGAAAAAGAAAAAGTGAGGATTCAGGTTAAGTCACGGGTGTTCTGAAGTTTGGAGCATTTTACAATGTAGTGGGAGAGGAAGGCATCTACAGAGACGAAGCCAGGGCTAAGGTTCATACAAGGAAAGTTGTGTATTAGAGAGGATTCAACTAGACGGCCACTGTTCGAGTTGGAAGTAGGGAAGACAGTTTTAGCAGAAGACCAGTCAATAGGATGGCCGCCGCCGCTGCCGCCGCCTCCGCCTCCTCCGCCTCCTGCCTATATATAGCCGTCCTGCTCCACCTCTGTTAGTGTGACTTTGTCAATGGTCCAAGTCGGACCGAAACGTCGTCGTAAGCTTCTCTCTTTTATGTGCGGGTTATTTGTGTATTGCATTGAGTAATAAAATTGAAAATACTTTATTGAGGTTTCATAAGAAAAGAAAGACATGAAAGAACAGACAACTACAGGAGAAAATAATTTAATATTAGGGTATTATATGTTGGCATTGAGAGTTATCAAAGAAAAGTATCAGCAAAATAGAGGGAATACCCCTTTACACTCTTAAATGATGAGTTTTCAGGTATGATTCAGGTCATTAATGAAATGTATATCATGGAAGAAAAATTAATTCCCGTCTTTCAGAGAGCAAATTGGGAATTTTTTTTTTTTTCAGTTTTAGCTGGAATTCCTTTGCCTAGGTCATCCCATGTAAATCTTGGATATCTGATGAGAAAGAAAGGGAGAGGTGACATGTACTGGAGGGCTTAGAATATGCTGCATCCTTCACTTGCACTGGTGGTTGATAGTTTGTAATTGTTAGGGTTTGCCTTAGGAAAATCTACCTTGTTTTCATGCATGATATTTTGTAATGTTATTGGATGCTGGCATTTGTAGTATAATCAGGTTCAAATACAGATTTAGAGGTTTGTATAACCTGATGTTATACAAACTAGACAAAACATCAGTTAGTAATAAAAACTGTGGATTTCAAATTTACAATACTGTAATGTTACTTGGATATATTAGTTCTGTCCGTAATTGTTACTTGGATATATTAGTTCTGTCCGTAATTATATTATCTATTGATATCACAATCTTTGACTGTGACATCAGCAGATAATTAGGTATTTAGTGTCCATTAAATTAACCTGCATTCCACTCTGGCACTGTTGCCAAACTAGTTTTAATTTTTTTTTTGTTTACTATTATATCAACCATTGATAAATTTTTTTTTTTTTTTTCAACAAGTCGGCCGTCTCCCACCGAGGCAGGGTGACCCAAAAAAGAAAGAAAATCCCCAAAAAGAAAATACTTTCATCATCATTCAACACTTTCACCACACTCACACATTATCACTGTTTTTGCAGAGGTGCTCAGAATACAACAAGTTTAGAAGCATATACGTATAAAGATACACAACATATCCCTCCAAACTGCCAATATCTCAAACCCCTCCTTTAAAGTGCAGGCATTGTACTTCCCATTTCCAGGACTCAAGTCCGACTATATGAAAATAACCGGTTTCCCTGAATCCCTTCACTAAATATTACCCTGCTCACACTCCAACAGATCGTCAGGTCCCAAGTATCATTCGTCTCCATTCACTCCTATCTAACACGCTCATGCATGCTTGCTGGAAGTCCAAGCCCCTCGCCCACAAAACCTCCTTTACCCCCTCTTTCCAACCCTTTCGAGGACGACCCCTACCCCTCCTTCCTTCCCCTATAGATTTATATGCTTTCCATGTCATTCTACTTTGATCCATTCTCTCTAAATGACCAAACCACCTCAACAACCCCTCTTCAGCCCTCTGGCTAATGCTTTTATTAACTGCACACCTTCTCCTAATTTCCACACTCCGAATTTTCTGCATAATATTTACACCACACATTGCCCTTAGACAGGACATCTCCACTGCCTCCAACTGTCTCCTCGCTGCTGCATTTACCACCCAAGCTTCACATCCATATAAGAGTGTTGGTACTACTATACTTTAATACATTCCCTTCTTTGCCTCCATAGATAACGTTTTTTGACTCCACATATACCTCAACGCACCACTCACCTTTTTTCCCTCATCAATTCTATGATTAACCTCATCCTTCATAAATCCATCCGCCGACACGTCAACTCCCAAGTATCTGAAAACATTCACTTCTTCCATACTCTCCTCCCCAATTTGATATCCAGTTTTTCTTTATCTAAATCATTTGATACCCTCATCACCTTACTCTTTTCTATGTTCACTTTCAACTTTCTACTTTTACACACATTCTCAAACTCATCCACTAACCTTTGCAGTTTTTCTTTAGAATCTCCCATAAGCACAGTATCATCAGCAAAAAGTAACTGTGTCAATTCCCATTTTGAATTTGATTCCCCAAAATTTAATCCCACCCCTCTCCCGAACACCCTAGCATTTACTTCCTTTACAACCCCATCTATAAATATATTAAACAACCATGGTGACATTACACATCCCTGTCTAAGACCTACTTTTACCGGGAAGTAGTCTCCCTCTCTTCTACACACCCTAACCTGAGCCTCACTATCCTCATAAAAACTCTTAACAGCATTTAGTAACTTACCACCTATTCTATATACTTGCAACATCTGCCACATTGCTCCTCTATCCACTCTATCATATGCCTTTTCTAAATCCATAAATGCAATAAAAACTTCCCTACCTTTATCTAAATACTGTTCACATATATGCTTCAATGTAAACACTTGATCTACACATCCCCTACCCACTCTGAAGCCTCCCTGCTCATCCGCAATCCTACATTCTGTCTTACCCCTAATTCTTTCAATTATAACCCTACTGTATACTTTTCCTGGTATACTCAGTAAACTTATTCCTCTATAATTTTTACAATCTCTTTTGTCCCCTTTCCCTTTATATAAAGGGACTATACATGCTCTCTGCCAATCCCTAGGTACCTTCCCCTCTTTCATACATTTATTAAACAAAAGTACCAACCACTCCAACACTATATCCCCCCTGCTTTTAACATTTCTGTCATGATCCCATCAGTTCCAGCTGCTTTACCCCCTTTCATTCTATGTAATGCCTCACGTACCTCCACCACACTTACATTCTGCTCTTCTTCACTCCTAAAAGATGGTATACCTCCCTGGCCAGTGCATGAAATTACCACCTCCCTTTCTTCCTCAATATTTAAGAGTTCCTCAAAATATTCTCGCCATCTACCTAATACCTCCCTCTCCCCATCTACTAACTCCTCTACTCTGTTTTTAACTGACAAATCCATACTTTCCCTAGGCTTTCTTAACTTGTTTAACTCCAAAATTTTTTCTTATTTTCATTAAAATTTCTTGACAGTGCCTCTCCCACTCTATCATCTGCTCTCCTTTTGCACACTCTCACCACTCTCTTTACCTTTCTTTTACTCTCCATATACTCTGCTCTTCTTATAACACTTCTGCTTTGTAAAAACCTCTCATAAGCTACCTTTTTCTCTTTTATCACACCCTTTACTTCATCATTCCACCAATCACTCCTCTTTCCTCCTGCCCCCACCCTCCTATAACCACAAACTTCTGCCCCACATTCTAATACTGCATTTTTAAAACTATTCCAACCCTCTTCAACCCCCCCACTACTCATCTTTGCACCAGCTCACCTTTCTGCCAATAGTCGCTTATATCTCGCCCGAACTTCCTCCTCCCTTAGTTTATACACTTTCACCTCCCTCTTACTTGTTGTTGCCACCTTCCTCTTTTCCCATCTACCTCTTACTCTAACTGTAGCTACAACTAAATAATGATCCGATATATCAGTTGCCCCTCTATAAACATGTATATCCTGGAGCCTACCCATCAACCTTTTATCCACCAATACATAATCTAACAAACTACTTATATTACGTGCTACATCATACCTTGTATATTTATTTATCCTCTTTTTCATAAAATATGTATTACTTATTACCAAATTTCTTTCTACACATAGCTCAATTAAAGGCTCCCCATTTACATTTACCCCTGGCACCCCAAATTTACCTACTACTCCCTCCATAACATTTTCACCCACTTTAGCATTGAAATCCCCAACCACCATTACTCTCACACTTGATTCAAAACTCCCCACGCATTCACTCAACATTTCCCAGAATCTCTCTCTCTCCTCTCCAGGTGCATACACGCTTACTATAACCCACTTTTCACATCCAATCTTTATTTTACTCCACATAATCCTTGAATTTATACATTTGTAGTCCCTCTTTTCCTGCCATAGCTTATCCTTCAACATTATTGCTACTCCTTCTTTAGCTCTAACTCTATTTGAAACCCCTGACCTAATCCCATTTATTCCTCTCCATTGAAACTGTCCCACCCCCTTCAGCTTTGTTTCACTTAAAGCCAGGACATCCAGTTTCTTCTCATTCATAACATCCACAATCATCTCTTTCTTATCATTTGCACAACATCCACGCACATTGAGACTTCCCACTTTGACAATTTTCTTCTTCTTATTCTTTTTGGTAATCTTTACAGGAAAAGGGGTTACTAACCCATTGTTCCCGGCATTTTAGTTGACTTTTATAACACGCATGGCTTACGGAGGAAAGATTCTTATTCCACTTCCCCATGGATATAAAAGGAAAAGTAATAAGACCAAGAACTATTAAGATAAAATCAAAGAAAACTCAGATGAGTGTGTATAAATAAATGTGTACATGTATGTGTAGTGTGACCTAAGTGTAAGTAGAAGTAGCAAGACATGCCTGTAATCTTGCATATTTATGAGCAGACAAAAGACACCAGCAATCCTACCATCATGTAAAACAATTACAGGCTTTCGTTTTACACTCACTTGGCTGGACGGTAGTACCTCCCTGGGTGGTTGCTGTCTACCAACCTACTACCTACCTTTAAAATATACATAGAAAAAATGAATGGTAATTTTGGACGGGAACAAAAATATAAAAAATATGATACATTTCATTATAGATGAGGCAGGTCTGTGAATTTTTTTTTTTTTTTTTTTTAACTCTTTAATTATATTCCTTTTAAACTTGAACTTTGCAATAAATGTTCACATGGAAAAAAGTTTGAGATAGCAGTATTGGTTATTTAGATTAATGAAAAAAAGGAATATTTTTAGTACAGAAGTACAGTATGTGCTTTTGGTTATTTTATAGAGAAACTTGTTTCAGTGGTTGAGTAACCCTATTTCATTAATGTTTTAGGAATTGATAAACAGTAACACATTAAGATGGAATGTAAAAAGCACTCATTGTATAGAGACTAAATTATTGTTTTCTTCCAGCAGGAGGAGGCTTCTGAATATACAAATGGTTTGATAGCTGAGGAAACTGAAGGCATTACCCCAGTTTTAGAGGTAGCTGTGGAGAGTCCTGTCACAGAAGGTCCACCTCCAGGCCTTGCTCCACCAACAGTAGCTCCTATGCTCTCCCCACCCTTACCTCAAGAAACTTCAGTTGTTTCTCCATCACAAGAGGCACTAGTAGCTGCTATGGCACAGATGACCACAGCAACTGTACCTGGAGCACCTCCACAGGGAGCAGGGATGCCTCCTGCACCCACATATTTTACCCAGCCTCCCCCACAGCCAACACCCCAGCCTCCTCCACCTCCACAACAGGTTTCACAACCTCCAACTCCACAGCAAGCACCTCTACAGCCTCCCCAACCACCACAACTGCAACCTATTTCCTTGAATGACTTGGTAACACCTGGAACTTTTGACTTCCTACAGGAAAGCCAAGTTGCTCAGGAGCCTCCTACAGTTTATATGGATCCAGCTGTTGTATCTATAGGCAGTATTAAAACAGAATCTGCATCACAAAGATCTGTCTCACCTGTTCCACAGCATCAAGTTGCTCCTATGGTTACACCCAATCTGGACCCATCACATCCATCCAACATTCCTACTCAGACCTATACAAATCAGACATATAGTGTGGTTTCATATTCTCAAGGAGTACCAGTTTATCCAAATAATACAGTAGTTGATAGCACACCAAATCCTCCTCCTCCAATTCCTTTGCCTCCACAGGCTAGACCACAGGAAAAGGTGGAGTTTAATCCAGAAGCTAGACCCTGGATTGGGCAACAGGTGCCTGCACAGCCAACTGCACAAGCTATTTCTACAGTATCACAGCAACCACAAGAGGATAACTGGGGGGCAGTCCAAGATGACCCTGTAAATGGTGGGGAAGACAAATGGGGTAGTGCAGAGTCTGGCAATTGGGGTGAATACGAAGAAAACCAAGCTGTTCCAGCTGCTGCTCCCACAAATGGTCATGGAGGAGATTATGAAAGGAGGGGTAATTTCAGAGGTCGAAGTAGAGGATTTGGAGGTAGAGGAGGATTCCGAGGGGGTCGTGGTGGTTACCAGAATGGCCGTGGTGGTTATGGAGGATATGGAGGCTTTCGTGGTGGAATGGGAGGACCAAGAGGTGGACGCAGATTCAGAGGGCAAGGCCCACGGGGAAACTTTAGAGGACGAGCAGGTGGATATCAGGGCCAGCGACAACCCTATCCTCAACATCAGCAGCAGTAAAAGTAGTGCAAGTATAAGCTGTGTGTGTGATGACAAAAGTTGCTACATGTGTATTGTGACACCTAGAAGTGTTTCACTTTCTTGCACAACGTACTGACCTGGTACTACCTGTGATTAGGGTAGTACTTGAACTCAAGATTGTAAGCAGTGAACGGAGAGACAATATAGGGCATTCTTTACGGGACAATGTAAGTGTGATGAATGATAAAAGTGAAAAATTTGCCAAAAAAGAGAAGGAAAATACTAAAACTTGAGTTCTTCTGAACTCAGCCAAAAAAAAAAAAAAATCTTAATTTCACTCTAAACTATTCCATGACTTGTCAAGTTATACAAAAGTTTTTCTATATAATTTTTATGGAAGCACTATTCCTGGAGTGTGGGGGAGGGGTGGAGGGTGCATTTATGCTCCCCTCTCTTCCAGGTGGACTTGGACCACTTGTCACTCTTACACTATCAAGCTGTCAATGCTTCCAATACATTATCATTTACTGCACGCCGAGAGTTTCTATTACCTTTAAACCCATACGATACTAAAGGGTGTATGGAGCCAAGCTGATGCAAAGGTTGTGGAAATTCAAATTTTAAATATGGTTCAGACTGCTTCATGAATATTTTACATCGAATCAAGTGGAACAAATAGTAAGATCTGAAATGAGGTAATGGAATAGATTATGAGAAGACCAAATGTACTTTATAACAGTAAGAAATTTAGATATTAAGTGAGGTTGTTAGGGTGCTTTTATTCATTCTAACAATCTGAGGCTAGAAGTCTTTTTCTATTGTATATGCAGTGTTTTACCATTGATACTCTGCATGTAAGCAGGGTTTGTATTATATTTACCCACCCTTGCCTTATTTCCTAATGGTCAGTAAGTATATATTTGTACATTGCAAATTTCAGGACTTGTGTTAGCAAGAAATTGTTCTAAATGGGACTCGAGAAAATATTGACTCCGAATAACATTCTGTGATTTTTTTGTTTATTTTCTTTTCCTCAATTATTTATAGGTGATGAATAGAAACGTAACACTCTTTAAGCTGATACACTAATAAATACTTCTCTTCTCGGGCACAGTATTAGTTTTGCGTGTGTATACATTGAGTGAAACATGTTGCTTAAAAAATCGTGTCTGTTCTGCATTTGGAAGAGAAGGGAGTATAAAATTTCTTTTTTACTTGCTGTGCTGATTTGTTGTTGATCGAATAACTTGAAAATGTACCAGGGAATAGCTGCTTTTCACCCATACCTCATGAATCAGTATCTAGACGTGAGAACATAATTTTGAAAACTAAGTAGTGAGAGGAAATTGCCTGGCTTAAAAATCCAGCAACCCATTTTCATAAATGCAGAAATAGTTCATTTTTTGTTGCCCTTGAAGGGAGTGTGGTGCCTTTATGTATATTAGAGAGGTTGTAGATCAGTGCGTCGTGTGCTATACTGGAAACCGAGACTGTAAATAAATGACTATATTTGTTCAGATATTTGGGAGTAGACTTGTCAGTGGATGAGTTTATGAAGGACAAGGTTAACCATAGAATTGATGAAGGAAAGGGTGAGTGGTACATTGAGGTATCTGTGGAGACCTAAAATGTCCATGGAGGCAAAGAAGGGAATGTATGAGAGTATAGTGGTACCAGTACTTATATGGGTGTGAAGCATGGGTTGTAAATACTGCAGCAAGGAGACTGGAGGCAGTGGAGATGTGTTTAAAGGCAATGTGTGGTGCAAACATTATGCAGGGAATTCGTAGTGTGAAAATTAGGTGGTGTGGAGTTACAAAAAGTATTATTCAGGGGGCTGAAGAGAGGTTGTTGAGGTAGTCTGGTCATATAGAGGATAGAGCAAAATAAGATGACTTGAAGGGTATATAAATCTGTAGTGGAGGGGTAGGGGTCTTCCTAGGAAAGGATGGAGGGTGGGGGTAAAAGAGGTTTTGTGTGCAAGAGGCTTGGACGTGCAACAGGTACATGTGAACGTGTTATAGGAGTGAATAGAGACTAATGGTTTTTGGGACCTGATGAGCTGTTGGAGTGTGAGCATGGTAATATTTTGTGAAGGGATTCAGGGAAATCGGTTAGACGGACTTTAGTCCTGGAGGGGAAAGTGCAATGCCTGAACTTTAAAAGAGGGGTTTGGAATATTGGCTGTTTGGAGTGATATCTAAATTCATATCTGGGTGCCTCTGCAAAGACTGTGAATAATGGTGTGTTTCTATTTTGGGTCACCCTGCTTCAGTGGGAGATGGCCACTGTGTTGAAAAAAAAATATTTATGCACTTTCTGGCATATACTACTACCTGAATGCGGTTCCTAATAGCAGCAGGTAGTAACTGCCATACAGTATTTTAACCCTTTGAGGGTCGACAGGCCCTCTCCGAAACTCGTTCTCAGGGTCGGCCAAATTTAAAAAAAAAAAAAAAATTTCTCTTATGAAAAGATAGAGAATCTTTTCCCGATCATAAGGGCACCAAAAGTTTGAAATTTGATGGAAAACTTACGGAATTATGCTCTCGCAAAGTTAGCGGTCTCGGCGATGTTTACGCATCGGCGATTTTGCCCACTTTGAGCCCCATTTTCGGCCAATTCCACTGTACTAGTCGACAAAAAACGTGAATATTTCGCTAGAACTCCATTTTTTCTATCGAATGGGTGCAAGAAACCACCCATTTATGAAATTCAACTATCCAGTACAGTGGTCAGAATTTAGCAATTTTGCCAATTTCACACAAATTTCAAAAGATGCCAATTTCCGAATGGGGTCCAGAATAAACAAGAAAGACATTCCTGGCACTAAAATGGCATTTCCTCTAGTCATTAGTCACTTCTCAAGGCCCCTCTTATATTCTTTTGCTTTCCACTTTGAATACGCCGTATCTCTACCAAACATAAAGATATTGTTTTTTGTTGGGTCCCTGGTCATGTCGACGTACAGGGCAATGAACAGGCAGACACTGCTGCGCGGTCAGCAGTACATGACCTACCAATTTCCTATCGAGGTGTTCCATTTCTGGACTATTTTGCTGCAATAGCTACCCACCTTCGCACCCGTTGGCAGCAACGTTGGTCAACTCTGCTCGGTAACAAACTTCATTCTATTAAACCGAGCATAGGTTACTGGCCGTCTTCTTGTCATCAGTGCCGAGGTTGGGAGACCACTCTCTCCCGCCTTCGCATTGGCCACACTCGTCTTACTCATGGGTATCTCATGGAGAGGCACCCTGTTCCTCTGTGAGCAGTGTCAAGTTCCAGTATCGATTAGCCACATTCTGTTAGACTGCCCTCTCTATCAACGAGCACGCAGAATTTACCTCCAACGTCGTCTTCGTTCTACTACTCTCTCTTTACCTTCCTTTCTTGCTGATGGACCCTCCTTTAATCCTGACTCTCTCATTGACTTCTTGACAACGACTGATTTACTCCACAAACTCTGATGATACTTTTCGCACTCCCCTCAACCCTTTCTAGTTCAGTCTCTTGCTGCCCTTTACCCTTTCACCATCCACTACCCCGCTGTCATCCGTAACCTATTATTCATCCATCTCCCTTTTGCCACCTGATGCCCTCGCTTCCTGCCCTGCAGCGCTGTATAGTCCTTGTGGCTTAGCGCTTCTTTTTGATTATAATAATAATCCACTTTGAATTTTTATTCTCACATAAAATATAAGATTTACTGTTATGCAGACTACTGCATTAGTGTAAAAAATGATATAAATATTATTGGTGCACTTGTGAAAGAATATTAGACTCACCAGTTGACGTGTATTGCACGCTTGGCACGATTTGTTTACTTTTGAAATTTGGTAAAAATCGAACATTTCTGCTACTTTGAGTTCAATTTCAAGGTACCTTTCATTGTAAAACCAGTCAAAATTATCTCAATTTCTGTAATATGTCTTCCATTCTATAAAGAGAGACCAAGAAAACTAGAATACAACAACAAATACCATACGAAAATACAGTGCAAAGTTGCTGTTTTATTCCAAAAAAATGGTTTTTTTTTTTTTTTTTCTCATTATGCACTGTGTGCTGCAGGATTTTTTTTTTTTTTTTTTAGACTGTGCACACTGACCCCACAGACCCATTCTTTCATATGAAGGCCTACCAGCTTTCTCCCACTAGATTTTAGGGCGCTAGAATTTAGGCGTACTAGTACGTCAAAAACCCTGGGTCGTAAGCCGTACTAGTACGTCCGAAACCCTCAAAGGGTTAACCATTGCTTTTTTATAACCAATAACCCCTGAGGGGGGGCTCTTGATACATAGAATTGGACCTAGTCATCTTCCCCTCCTCAGATCGAATCTGATTACGTCCTAGTCTACGGGCACTGTATGACCGCAACAGCCTTAGCTATTCCCTTCTAAATACAGTATTAATAATATAGCTAATTATTATTACTTATATTTAAGAAAGGTGCTAAACTCATAGGGACATACAGCACCTGGGGAATGGGAGGGAATAAGGTTCAAGCCAAGGAAACGGGTTAAAGTAATTCCTAATAAAGCCATTGACAGAAAACTACCATACTTTGATGGTTGCTTATTTTATAACTGAATAAAAGTTTGAATTCACGTGTTTAGCACACAAAAGATCCTGTACTAGGCATACTTTGTAGTCTTAGGATTCCATGTTCGTGAACAGCTGTCTTCTCATAATCAACTGGCAGTGTGTTTATTATTAAACTCGATACAGTAAAACCTGTTATTAATGGATTTCAGCAATTTTGGACCTCCCCTCCAAAAATTGGCCAAACACTATTAGACAAAATGGTGAGAAGTTTGTAAGTTTGCATTTTGTTCATAGTGATAATGTCTAGTCTTCTGGGACAAGCCTGCTAACTCTTGAAGTTTGTCCGGTATGGACAAATACAAGCTTTACAGTTCTTCACTTGAAATTAAAGTTATTCTGAGTCGCCACTGTCAGTAATGACAGTTTACATATCTATGAAAAGGAAAATTATTGTAAATTGCATAGTGCTATATTACAATCACCCCTCAAGGAAGGTTCCTTGATGTTGGTGAGGGGCTCTTGATTTAGGGAATTGGATCTGTGCTCCAGTTCCCCGAATTAAGCCTGAATGCCTTCCACATCCCCCCCCAGGCGCTGTATAATCCTCCGGGTTTAGCGCTTCCCCCTCGATTATAATAATAATATATTACAATCAACTAAGCACTAAACCCACAAGGGTCATACATTGCTCAAGTACTATAAAATTATGGTACTATAAAAAAAAAAAAACAGGTTGAGGGGGGCATACCTGTCCTCGGCAAAATCTAACATTTCTACTAATTTGGGCTCAATTTCAAGCTGCTGCTGGCCATGAAACCAAGTAAAATCATCACTTTCAGTTCTGTCAAATGATAAGAGCCAATAAGACCATGCCAGAAGACACCTCAGATCATTATTTTAAAGCAAACCTGAGGTCAGTTTTGCTTTTTCCCCATCGTGCACCATGTGGGGCAGGATTTTTTTTTTTGTATATTGTGCACATTTGCTTCAGACCCATTCTCTCGCATCTAGGCCAAAATTTACCGTTTGCAGCTTAGCCGAACTATTGAAATAGATATACCTAAGGGACCCAGGTATTGTTAAGTAAGGCTATGTGAGAACCACATCTGATCTTCACTTCATCCTAACCTTTGCACATAACTCAATACTGGGTTTACCACTCGGTTGGATTCTAATAAAGGTCAGGATTAATTTAAAGTAAAAAATTTTTTTTGCAAAATGTATATTTTGGCAGTTTCCTGTAAAAAAGTTACTTTAGGCATTCGGTTTTATTTTTTAATCACTAAATCATCACGGTCATACAGCATTGTAATGGTGTGTGTGTGTATAAACTATATGGGGGTTAGCTTTATAGCCCTTGTGGCTTAGCGCTTCTTTTTGATTATAATAATAATATATGGGGGTTAACAGAAGCAGTCAATCTAATAATTTATTTTTATCTTTTATAAACACTATGCTATATCCCACAGTATAAATAAATATAGCCAGATACAAAAATAAACAATACATAGATTGTTAAAGCAACACAAATACCTATTCCAGTTTAATGTGTAGCTCAAACATATGAATGAAATTTTATTTTTAATGCTCTTTGGAAAAAAAAAAAAAACTAAATTTTTAATTAGGTTTTCCACCACCCTCAACTTTTGTACTAAACTATTTCAGAGGTTAGTTGTCTACTGATCCTTCGTGAATGATTGCACGAGCCAGATTGTTTGACAGTGCCAGTCTGAGGTCTATTTCTTTTTCTAAAAATGCTGAGCAAGTCGCTTCATTTTCCAGGGAACTCTGCTTTCCTCTGTTGAGAAAAAAAAATGCAAGTGTAAAAGCATCTTTTTTAACAATGGGCATATTTTTTATACATTTTAATTAGTGAATATATTAGAATTTTGTTTTAAATTAAAAGGAATAGGAGATAAAATCAACTATGAACATTGGCATTGACCTTTTACAGGATCAGTAATTTCCTTATAAATTTTTTTAGAAATCCTGACATTACTAAGCCTGTTTGCCTTGAAATGTCAAGCTTGATTCTTTAGACCATATTAATATGCCCCATACATTCCATACAATATTAACAAAATTCCATTGTTTTTTTATGTTGAAGTACTAATTAAATGCTATTGTTTTATCTGCACATATTAGTTTAGGGCTTTGTGATGATAAATCATCTTTGCTAACAAGTACAGTAAACATGACAAAATAATAAGCAAACTTATGGGAAAAGTTTGAAGGATAAACCCATGTAAATAATTATTATGGGGGGAGTGCTAAACCCATAGGGATTATACGGCACCTGTGGAAGGGGATGGGGGTGATGGAAAGCATTCAGGCTCAATTTGGGGAACTGGAGAATAGATCCAATTCCCTAGATCAAGATTCTCACCTGCAACAAGGAGTCTTCCTTGAGGGGTAAACATGTGAAAGGAAGTCATGTTAAAGCAATAAACAGTTTGTCTGTATTAGAAGCAGGACTTTCTGAAAGAAGGGCTGAGGTCAGTCATAAAATCTACATTAGTCTTTGATAAGCAGAGCAATTAAGATATCTTACTGTCATCTTGATCTGATAATTCACCATAGCCAAGTGCCCTTCTACAAAATGTCCTAAGTAAATGATGGTATATACAATACACAATATTTGGAATGCTGCTTCCCACTAATGAAAGGAGGTAGCCCAGTAGTGTAATTACGGTTTGACTGATAACAGCTCACTAACTCTGAAAATAGTAAAGGGAATTCTTGTGGAAGATTTGAAGGTTTTGAATTATGGAACATGCAGGTTATTGTTATAATCAAAACTAAGTGCTAAACCCACCAAGGTAGGGTGTGTGAACTGTATAATATGCTTGATCAAAGATGGAGAGTATAACAGAGGTAGAGTTTGTAAAGGTGAGGAGTGCTAAGGGAAGTATAATCAAAGGCTGTGTAATAAATCTGTTGCTGTCAAACAAGACAAAGAGGGAGTCTGTATCAAAAGGTGCTGTCAGCAAGGAGGGAAGATAAAGTAAGGGTGTTAGAGTGGTGATGACGTCGGAAGTAAATTCTGTGTGCTCGCTGATAGACAGGACAGTCCAATAGAATATGGCAAACTGAAATTGGAACCTGACAATTTGCTCAGAGTGAGATGTGTGCACCCAATGCGAAGACAGGAAAGCACAGTCTCCCAACCATGACATCGATGATAAGATCAGACTCCTGAGCTCGGCCTGATAGAATGTAATTTGTTATGAATCAACTTAGACCAATGTTGTTGCCGACGATTGTGAAGGTGGCTAGAGATTACAGCAAAAGTCTGAGAATGGAATACTTCTACATGAAACTGGAAGGTCCTATACCAGACTCTACAGCAGTCCGCCTGCTCACTGTCCTGAGCATCAACATGATCAGGGAGGGAACATGCAGAGCTTGCAAATCTGTTACCTGAAAAACAATGTCCAGAGACCTAACAAAAGACAACATATCAAGTGTTGAATGCAAAGGAGAATGGTATGTTAGGAATCAAAGCACTTGTAATGCATTCTTATAAAGTTTGGCTTTTTGCATCCTGTTTGTAATCTTTTCTCAACGTTTAATTCCACGAGGTATTCAAAGTTAGGTACTGCATGGTTGCTGATGCCTAGGGGACTCTCATATTCTATTTGTGGTAAACACTAGGTCCAGCTTTACTTTCACATTCTCTCTCTCTTATTTTTTTTTTATTATAACACTGGCCGATTCCCACCAAGGCAGGGTGGCCCGAAAAAGAAAAACTTTCACCATCATTCACTCCATCACTGTCTTGCCAGAAGGGTGCTTTACACTACAGTTTTTAAACTGCAACATTTACACCCCTCCTTCAGAGTGCAGGCACTGTACTTCCCATCTCCAGGACTCAAGTCCGGCCTGCTGGTTTCCCTGAACCCCTTCATAAATGTTACTTTGCTCACACTCCAACAGCACGTCAAGTATTAAAAACCATTTGTCTCCATTCACTCTTATCAAACACGCTCACACATGGCTGCTGGAAGTCCAAGCCCCTCGCACAGAAAACCTCCTTTACCCCCTCCCTCCAACCTTTCCTAGGCCGACCCCTACCCCGCCTTCCTTCCACTACAGACTGATACACTCTTGAAGTCATTCTGTTTCCCTCCATTCTCTCTACATGTCCGAACCACCTCAACAACCCTTCCTCAGCCCTCTGGACAACAGTTTTGGTAATCCCGCACCTCCTCCTAACTTCCAAACTACGAATTCTCTGCATTATATTCACACCACACATCTCCACTGCCTCCAGCCTTCTCCTCGCTGCAACATTCATCACCCATGCTTCACACCCATATAAGAGCGTTGGTAAAACTATACTCTCATACATTCCCCTCTTTGCCTCCAAGGACAAAGTTCTTTGTCTCCACAGACTCCTAAGTGCACCATTCACCCTTTTCCCCTCATCAATTCTATGATTCACCTCATCTTTCATAGACCCATCCGCTGACACGTCCACTCCCAAATATCTGAATACATTCACCTCCTCCATACTCTCTCCCTCCAATCTGATATCCAATCTTTCATCACCTAATCTTTTTGTTATCCTCATAATCTTACTCTTTCCTGTATTCACTTTTAATTTTCTTCTTTTGCACACCCTACCAAATTCATCCACCAATCTCTGCAACTTCTCTTCAGAATCTCCCAAGAGCACAGTGTCATCAGCAAAGAGCAACTGTGACAACTCCCACTTTATGTGTGATTCTTTATCTTTTAACTCCATGCCTCTTACCAAGACCCTCGCATTTACTTCTCTTACAACCCCATCTATAAATATATTAAACAACCACAGTGACATCACACATCCTTGTCTAAGGCCTACTTTTACTGGGAAATAATTTCCCTCTTTCCTACATACTCTAACTTGAGCCTCACTATCCTCGTAAAAACTCTTCACTGCTTTCAGTAACCTACCTCCTACACCATACACCTGCAACATCTGCCATATTGCCCCCTATCCACCCTGTCATACGCCTTTTCCAAATCCATAAATGCCACAAAGACCTCTTTAGCCTTATCTAAATACTGTTCACTTATATATTTCACTGTAAACACCTGGTCCACACACCCCCTACCTTTCCTAAAGCCTCCTTGTTCATCTGCTATCCTATTCTCTGTCTTATTCTTAATTCTTTCAATAATAACTCTACCATACACTTTACCAGGTATACTCAACAGACTTATCCCCCTATAATTTTTGCACTCTCTTTTGTCCCCTTTGCCTTTATACAAAGGAACTATGCATGCTCTCTGCCAATCCCTAGGTACCTTACCCTCTTCCATACATTTATTATATAATTGCACCAACCACTCCAAAACTATATCCCCACCTGCTTTTAACATTTCTATCTTTATCCCATCAATCCCGGCTGCCTTACCCCCTTTCATTTTACCTACTGCCTCACGAACTTCCCCCACACTCACAACTGGCTCTTCCTCACTCCTATAAGATGTTATTCCTCCTTGCCCTATACACGAAATCACAGCTTCCCTATCTTCATCAACATTTAACAATTCCTCAAAATATTCCCTCCATCTTCCCAATACCTCTAACTCTCCATTTAATAACTCTCCTCTCCTATTTTTAACTGACAAATCCATTTGTTCTCTAGGCTTCCTTAACTTGTTAATCTCACTCCAAAACTTTTTCTTATTTTCAACAAAATTTGTTGATAACATCTCACCCACTCTCTCATTTACTCTCTTTTTACATTGCTTCACCACTCTCTTAACCTCTCTCTTTTTCTCCATATACTCTTCCCTCCTTGCATCACTTCTACTTTGTAAAAACTTCTCATATGCTAACTTTTTCTCCCTTACTACTCTCTTTACATCATCATTCCACCAATCGCTCCTCTTCCCTCCTGCACCCACTTTCCTGTAACCACAAACTTCTGCTGAACACTCTAACACTACATTTTTAAACCTACCCCATACCTCTTCGACCCCATTGCCTATGCTCTCATTAGCCCATCTATCCTCCAATAGCTGTTTATATCTTACCCTAACTGCCTCCTCTTTTAGTTTATAAACTTTCACCTCTCTCTTCCCTGATGCTTCTATTCTCCTTGTATCCCATCTACCTTTTACTCTCACTGTAGCTACAACTAGAAAATGATCTGATATATCTGTGGCCCCTCTATAAACATGTACATCCTGAAGTCTACTCAACAGTCTTTTATCTACCAATACATAATCCAACACACTACTGTCATTTTGCCCTACATCATTTCTTGTATACTTATTTATCCTCTTTTTCTTAAAATATGTATTACCTATAACTAAACCCCTTTCTATACAAAGTTCAATCAAAGGGCTCCCATTATCATTTACACCTGGCACCCCAAACTTACCTACCACACAATCTCTAAAAGTTTCTCCTACTTTAGCATTCAGATCCCATACCACAATTACTCTCTCACTTGGTTCAAAGGCTCCCATACATTCACTTAGCATCTCCCAAAATCTCTCTCTCTCCTCTACATTCCTCTCTTCTCCAGGTGCATACACGCTTATTATGACCCACTTTTCGCATCCAACCTTTACTTTAATCCACATAATTCCCTGCTTACTCCATCAGTTTAGTCCTCCATGTTTCTGGTACCCCATGTGGTTCCTTGTTCTCCCAATCTATTTCTTTGTGGACGAAATAATCCATGATAAGTAACTTTTCCTTCATCTCGTGCACACTCCTAGCTGCTTCAGCTATGTCAACCATTGCTTTGTTGTTGTCTTGATATTCCTGCCATGGTCACCTATTGTTAAGTGGTGGGC